CCAACATGGTGTAGGCTCCCGTAATGATAACGGTGAGCGGTTGCTTTATTTGTGTGAGGATGCTCGCTTATTTCTTGCAAGCACTAGTTTCCGACACAGCACCCGCCTGAGAGTGACTTGGCGCCCACCAGTCTCGAACCAGCTAGGGACGCAAAGCGAGCACATTGCGGTAACCAACCGATGGAGAGGCTGCGTCCAGAACTGTCGCTCGATTTGGAGCACAAGTGTAGACACCGACCATGCACTTGTTTGTGCTGACCAGCGGATGCGCATTGGTGGACGCCTACGACGATGCGAAGCGCCGTTACGACGTACAGCTGACACGTTAGTTATTATTACGACGACGTTGTGACCGCAGTGACTCCAGCCAACTGGCAAAGCCAGCTGTTCTGAATGCTTATCATAACACGCTGTCATGCGAGTTGGATAAACGCTCACTGGATGCAATTAAAGCTCAATGGTCTCAAATGCAACAGGCCTTATTAGCAGCAGGAAAATCCCCATGTGGTACGTCTAATCGTCAACATGGACATTGGGTCTCTTCAAGTCTCTGGAACTTATAGATGCTTGCCGGCATATTCCGGCTGGAAGCACGCACAATGAAACTCGCAAATAGCTGCGGGCGAAACTCCGTGTTAGCTTGAAGAGACAGCGAATCTCGGTGGTCTCATCGTTCTTCAGAGATGGAAATGAATCTTACCTCAAACAGTTTTTTGATGCTCTGGCCACCACAGAGGATAATCAACGGTGCCATATCTGCTGCATCGAACAGGGTAGATAGGGGTTTGGATGATACTTCTCAAGCCTTCCCGTCTTCTTATTCCCCCTCTTACGCTTTTTCACACTCACCGTCCCCTTTCAACTTCACTTATATCCCCCAATTTTCAACCCCCGATTCTTGGCCCTCCCCCAACATGCTTGGCTAGGCATTTATCTTCTAATATCAACTCACATGTGAACGCGGAGAGTCACTCCTCTCCTGTCGACAAGCCCATGTCCAACCAAGCGGTCCATTCCAGTTCATCTGCTTCCATTTGGAACCCTCGATCCTCCTTCAGATTGGCATGCCTTAATGTACGCACACTGCTACAATCGGTCAACAGGCAGCACTTGCCCGAACATTAGAGACCCTCTTAATCGATATCTGCTGCTTATCAGAGACTCGCCTGCAAGACTCGAGCTCTGTGCTCACTATGCGATCCACTTCAAGTGACGCAAGCAGTATATTCTCATTGCGCTTATCCGGTGGCGATGCAGCTTCAAGCACCGGCCAATCTGGTGTTGGCCTTGCCCTGAGTCCCCGGGCTGAAGCTACTCTGGTTGATTGGATTCCAATCAGTAGCCGGATGTGTGCGGTCCGATTGGCTGCCTCGTTTAAAGCTTCTAAGTCGCGGGGGACTAATACATGTCTATTCATCATCGCTGCCTACGCGCCCACAAAATGTAGCGATGCTTCGGTAAAGAACGGATTCTACCGCCAACTGACCCAGCTCCTTCGCCACAGAAGAAGCGCGGACACTGTTGTGCTGGCTGGGGATATGAACGCACAAGTTGGAAAGTGGTTCACTGATGAAGTGCATCTGGGCGGTCAACACGGTGTAGGCTCTCGTAATGATAACGGCGAGCGGTTACTTCATTTGTATTAAGATGCTCGCTTATTTTTGCGAGCACTAATTTCCGACACAGCACCGCCTGAGGATGACTTGGCGCACACCAGCTTTGAACCAACCTTGGACGCAAATCCATCACATTGATATAAGTTCCCGTTGGAGAGGCTGCATCCAGAATTGTCGCTCGACTTAAAGCACATGTGTGGACACCGATTATGCACTTGTGTGTGCTGACATGCGGATGCGCTTTGGAGGGCGTCCGCGACGATGTTGTGAGCGCATTGACACCGGCCAGCTGACAAAGCCAGCTGTTCTTAATGCGCATCGAAGTACGCTGACATGCGAGTTGAGTAATCGCTCACTGGAGGCAATTGATGTTCACTGGTCACATGTTCGCCAGACCTTATTAGAAGCAGGCAACTCTTCATGTGGAATGTCTAGTAGTCAACATGGACATTGGGTCTCTTCTCTGTCTCTGGAACTCATCGACGCTCGCCGGCATATCCCGGCTGGAAGTGAACACAATGAAGCTCGCAAAGAGCTCCGGGCAAAACTCCGTGCTAGCCTGAAGAGAGACCGCGAATCTTGGTGGTCTCATCGTGCGTCAGAGATGGAAGTGGCCGCTGACCTTGGCAACTATCGCACGTTATTCCGTCTGGAACGGGAAACGGGCAGCAGGAGACCTGGCGTTAGTGAAACAATTTGTGATGAGTGTGGACAGCCTATCCACGACTTGTCAAAATGCTTGGAGGGTTCCGCAGAGCATTTTGAAAAGCAATTTAATCGGCTAGAATTGTTTGATTCATCGCCAGTTACTGATCGGAAGGCTCCGTGGGCTGCCCTTTGGATCCACGCTCTCGATCAGAAGTCGAACGGTAGATCGAACGGTTGAAGCTCAATAAAGCCGCGGGACCTGATGATCTTCCTACAGCCCTCTTCCAATTCGGGGGACCTGCTCCTGTTGATGCTTTACATGAATAAGTAGTGAAACTGTGGGAGCAGGAGACTGTCCCAACCGACTGGAGCCGCTCCGTTATACTTCCTATCTACAAAAGCGGCTCCCGCTCGGAATGCGGCAACCATAGATGAATTAGTCTGATCTCCATCGCCTCCAAATTGCTTGCCTCTGTCACCCTTCACAGACCGACTGGAACTCGTGCAAGCCAGCTTGGTGAAAAGCAAGCCGGATTTCGTCGAGGTCGTGGCTGCATTGACCACAACTTCCCCTTGAGTCAGTTGTTGGAGCGCTGTCACATATATTGGCGGCTCACCGTAGTCGTGTTCCTCGACATCAAAGGTGCCCTCGATTCGGTTGATGGATGTTCCCTTTAGAATTGTCTACTTAGGAAAGGTGTGCCCGAGAAATATGTTAATATTATCCAAGCATTATCTGCGCGTAGCATGGGCAGAGTGAGGGCTTACGGCAAGCTGTCGCCACCCTTCAATATCTCCAAACGGTGTGAGACAAGGATGCCCGCTCTCACCTTTCCTCTTCAACTTCGCTATTGACGAAGTCATGGAGATTGCATTTACAGGACATGAATTGGAAGGTGTGGAGCTACTTCCAGGAGAACGAGTTTTTTGACTTGGAGTATGCAGACGACCTTGCCCTCATCTGTGACAGCTCCCAGACGCGCCAAGCCGCGCTGGACAGATAAGCACGGGATGTCAGCCGCTTCGGGCTTTGCTTCGCACCATCAAAAGTGCAATGCGTTCCTTCAAGATTGCCAAGGATCGCCCCCTGCGCTGACCCTTGTTGGGGACCAGCTAGAAGTCGTTCAAAAGTTCAATTACCTGGGAAGTTGTGTCAGCGCCCTTGGGATCGAAGACGAGCTCACGAACCGCGTAGCAACAGCTCGAAGTGCTTTTGCTAACCTTCTCCACTTATGGCGGCGGCGCGACATTACACTCGCCCTGAAGGGTAGAGTGTAGAATGCAGCGGTACGTTCGACCCTACTGTAAATAACTAAATAAATAAATAAAATGTTTATTCTCGACTGAGCGAGGCACGTCTGCACAGACATGATCATGTTAAGAGTACAAACTGTGATCAGTCAATGTACAATGGATCAATGAGATTGTCGCACAGATTGTTATATAAATGTATGTAAGTGTGTATGTGGGCGTGTTTAGCCGTGTTTATGGAGTTCGTAAATGTATTCCAGTCTTTTTGATCGTGCTTGAACTTGTGGCCAGTGTTAAATGGGTGCTTGATGGCTGTGGACTTGAAGCGGTCGTCCGGGTAAGCAATGGGTGACTTTAGTTGGTGGCGAGTCACTACCGCCACGTCACAGTGTTGTTAAGCGGACATTTGTGGCTTTTTATAGGGAGAACGCTTGCCAGGCGGAAACCCACCACGTCCTGGAACACTGCCGCCGAACTATTTGCTGGAAGGGGTAAACCCAATCCACCCAGCTGGCACCACGAGGAGGTTGTTCGGACCCTAAGCTCGACGGACATGAAGAGGCTAGTTACGTTCGACCATCGGTGCTTTCGCAGTTTGGCACACATCTGGTGGGAACACCGCGTGAGTAACAAGCGTGTTCGACGCCTTGTTTACGGCCCAGGAAAAGGAAAAGAACCGCTCCGCATCGACATTTCCCGCACCAGGCTTCGATGGCTCGGCCACGTGTTACGCCTGCCAGCCCACCGACTCCCTCGACGTGCGTTCTTTGCTCACAGGGGATGTGGGTGGAAGAACAGGCGAGGTGGTTAAGCGATGACTTGGTCGAGTAGAATCAAGTCCCTCACTTTGGAGCTAGCCTCTGTTGGAGCTTCACGGCTCCCTGGTTGGGGTCCAAACGACGGTGAACACGTTTGGCTGGATACACTTGCTGACATGGCAATAAGCCGACCTCAGTGGCGTTCGTGCTGTGAGTTTCTTTGTCCCTCCCCATCACGCTTAGCCTCCCTCTCCACCTACGATCTTATTTCTTAGCGTAAAACTGTTATAATCTTCTCACTAGACGCAACTCGAAAAATAACAATTCACTGCTCCACAAAACGTCTAGCCCAACCGAAGCAAAAAAGCAAAACGCCAATGACCTTGACAAAATAACGAATAAATCGCCGCCAACGAACACTGCACAACGTCTGTGGACCTTGGCTGTATCTATAGGTCTCCACTGATCTTCGACTTCTAGAATTGGAAGGTCAGCTGCCGAGGTTAGTGGTTCCCCATATCTTTTGCCGAGGTGTCAGGTGGCTTTTAGTCACGTGCAGAAGAAGAACATTCCGGAACGTTCGAACTCGATGCGATAATGGTTACTAATCGATTAATCGCTGAAATAGGGAATTTACAATGCAATTTTTACTTCCTCCTGGACACCTCCTCTCCTGAGATATATTCCGAGTTTTAAGACGGAAGCTTGGGATTAGCTTGCCTTTTTCGGTACGGTGTTCTCTGCCTGTCGGTCCACCTCATGAGAGAAGCGCCATAGATCTTTGTTCCGTTGCTCTTTTTCTGGATTCGTTGCTCGACTTTGTGCAGTCGTCCACTGCTTCCTTCGGCCTGTTGAAAGTTTCCACCAGTAAATCAAACAGGAGCTCAGTAGGCCTTTCTTGTTCTGGCTGGCACAATGTGGGCAGTAACTGGTTTGCATGCCGTGGCCAGACCTGTGCTCCCACCTTCACGTCATACTTGACGTTTTCGCGCTTGCTTTTGACCGTCCGTGGCGTCCATTTCGCATGGCCTTTCCGGTAATCACGTACTAGCACCTTCTGCCCAAGCGTGAAAGATTGCTTCTTTGCTCCATGCCGCCAATTAAACTCCTGTTCCATTCTGCTGTTTCTTTCACAAACAGAGGAATCCGAGCCCTGTCGGATGGCGTCGAACGGCGTGCGAAGCTTCTGGTTCATCATGACCTGTGCTGGAGAGACTCCGTCTGGCTCTTGTGGATTCGGTGTTGATCGGTAGAGGAAAAGGAACCGGTCAAACACCTAATCTATACGTCCCTCCCCTTTTGATTTGTGCAGAGCTCGCTTGAATGTGTCGACAAATCTTTCTGCCTGGCCATTCGACTGTGGATGAAACGGCGGCGAGCGAGCGTTTTGGACGGCGCATTGCTTGCAATACTCCTTAAACGTTGCTAAAGTAAATTGTGAGCCATTGTCAGTGGCCATTGTCTCAGAACAGTCGAATCTGCTAAAGGCTTGGCGCAGTTTCGATATGGTGGCATTGGTGGTTGTGTTATCCATGAAAAATACTTCCGGCTACTTGCTGTATGAGTCGACTATAATGAGGAAACTTCTGCCGTTGATCGGCCCTGCAAAGTCGACATGGATGCGACACCACGGCTTAGTAACTATTGGCCATGAACAGGGTTCTGCTTTCGGCGGCGCTTTCAAGACATTGGCACACCTTTGGCAGCGTTTGGCTATTTCTTCTAGCTGTTTGTCCAGGAAGGACCAGTATACATAACTGCGGGCAAGCGCCTTTATCCGGTTGATTCCAGGATGCCCGGCGTGGAACTGTCGAATAAGGCGCTCCTGAAGTATCTTGGAGATGACCAATCTTTCCGAAAATAGTATGCAATCGTTTACAATAGCGAGTGAGTGCCTCCTCTGAAAATACTGTTGCAACTCGGCGGATGGACAGGAACGTGGCCAACCTGTTTTGTAAAACTGAGTAACCTTCTTGAGTATTGGGCCCCGAAGTGTTTCGGTCCGTACAGCTTCTGCGGTAACTGGTAGACAGTGCAATGCATCAGTTACCAGCAAGTTGGCGTCTGGTTCAACCTCAACCGAGGCGATGATTGTGTCTTCATGTTCTTGCTGACGGGTATCCGTTAGGCGTGACAGTGCATCTGTTTGGCCAATGGAAACTGTCGACTAATATTGGATCTCGAAATCATACCCCATTAAGGTAAGAGCCCAACGTTGTAGCCTGTTGGCTGTGTAGGCCGGGATGCCCTTTTTCGAACCAAAGATAGCCAGCAAGGGCTTGTGATCTGTCAGAAGCTTGAAGCGGCGGCCGTATAGCATTATGTGGAATTTCTTAACCGCGTACACTATGGCCAACGCTTTTTTATCAATCTGGCTGTAGTTCTTCGCGGCCTTCGTAAGTGTTCTTGCGGCATGGGCGATTGCTTTTTGAGATCCATCTGGGTAAGTGTGTGCAAGTACTGCACTAATCGCATGGCTTGATGCATCTGTGGTTAGGACGATCTCTTTGGAGGGATCGAAATGTGTCAAAAGCAAGTTTGAAGATAAGAGTGACTTGACGCGTTCGAAGGCATTCTGGCATTCGGATGTCCACTTCCAAGGTTGTGCTTTGGCTAGTAGCTTGTTTAACGGGGCACGCAAGCGGTGCATCTCAGGCCAGAATGCGCTGTAGTGGCTGATGAGCCCACAAAAGGCGCGCAAGGACTGTAGATCTGCTGGTGGAGGCATTTTTCTAATGGCTTCGATATTTTCCGGGTCTGGTCGACGTCCATCCTTCTCGAGGATAAAACCGAGGTATTTGATGAGCGGCGTGAAAACTGTGCATTTTTCCTCACGGAGCCGGAAACCGTACGACTCTACGCAACCAAGCACTTTATCCAAGCGGTCGAAGAGATCTTCTTGTGTTCGACCCATCACTATCATATCGTCCAGATATGCAGCGGTTCCAGAAACTCCAGCTAGCGTGGTGTCCATCAACTGTTGGAAGATGGCTGGCGCCGTTTTCACACCAAATGGCAAGTGGTTGTATTGGAATAGCCCACGATGAGTATTGATCGTCAACAACTCCCTCGAGACTTCGTCAACATCCACTTGCACATAAGCGTCGGATAGATCAAGCTTAGCAAAGTACTTACCACCTTTCAACTTTGCAAATATATCCTCCGGTACAGGTAAGGGGTACTGGTGGTCATCCAGCGCGACGTTGAGGCAAGTAGAAAAGTCAGCGCAAACGCGTACCTTGCCATTCGCTTTCTTCACTGCGAAAATAGGTGCGGCCTATGATGAGTAGTTGACTGCCGTGATGACTCCGGCACGTTCCAGTCGATCGAGCTCTTGCTCAACGGTTGACATGGCTACATATGGTACCGGTCTTTTGGCCTTGAACACTAGTTTAGCACCTGGTCGCAAGTTCAGCGTTGCCTTGAATTCTGTACAATGGCCCAAGCCATCCTGAAAGACAGAGGCAAATTTGCGCTTCAGTATACGTATCACGTCTTCGATGGACTTTGCAGATCGGTCTAGACTTGCTCGAACTCCGTTGCAGATCTGATTCAAGGGAACATCAAGGAGATTCAACTTTTCAATCCAGTCGAGGCCAAGAAGATTCAAATTCGGCCAGTCTGAAATGTGGCATGTTCCCGACTTCTCCACACCTTGGAAAGCGATCTTGCAATTGAGTTCGCCCACTAAGTTTAACACGCCGCCGGATGCATTATGTGCAACTTTCTGAGAGTCGACCATCTTCGGCCTCTTTATGTGATTCCACGTGCTCCTGGAAATTGCTGTTTCGTATGGATCCCCTTGATTAACACAGTGATGAATCGTCGTCTCGGTTTACATTCGCTTAGGAATGCGGCAACTATGGACCGAGACACAGGATTACCCATTCGACAAAACTTCTGCAATATCTTAGACCGGACTTGACAGCAGCTTTCCACTTTCGTCTCCGTCCGATTCATTTTCTGTATGCCTAATCCCAGACGTCGCTATATGTTCTTGTTGCTGTGGCTCTCACTCCTAAACCTTTTGACTAGTTGGCCTCTCAGGCTCCAAATGCCTATGGGCCTCAATCCAAGGCTTCTCATCCTTTCAACATTGATTCAAGTTCTAATTGGCATAAAAAACAGCCTCATGAACTCTACTCCGTCTGATACATTATAATACGCTTGGACCCCTGCAAATTGCAATTTCAGGTCTCTGATTGACTTTTGCCTCTTGGTTCCACTATCATTCTTCTCAGCTCACAAGTATCGTCTCCCTCTCTTTTG